AGATTTCGGCTTGATCTAGCAATTTGTATAATATTATCATCTATTAGCAGTTCAAATGATTCTTTGGTAGTCATTTTGAATTTTTGATGCAAGATTGAGATATCTTTGCAAAATAATTGTAAAAATTAAAAAAAACATAAAAACACATTTCCACAAAAAACCAACGTAACTGGTATCGTGGGGGCTGCACAGCCCCCAGAAAATACGTAGCTCCATCTTTGTAAGTGCTACAGGGCCAAACATTTGGCACTCGCTAAAAGTCGCGACGTAATGAGATTACATGAAATGGCAGCTGCACACGATATTTAGATTTTTAGAAAATCATAAAAATATGACGCGTGGGGGCCGCGCGGCCCCCAAGAAACCAGTTAAGGGTTAAACAACACTGAGATGACTGTACCACATGAGCAATGAATCCAAATCATCTTGATGTCTGATAACTGTTTGCTTAATGCCCAGATTGTAGATGATCTTTGACCTAGTTTCTTGGATCTTTTGTAGTAATTGTACAACTGCCACATGCAACACCATAGGATCTTTACAAAAGATGTTAGTTCAGGGAGAAAATAATCTCCTAAGAAACATTGATAACACCTTAAAATATATTTAAATCATTGTATATCTCCATTTAACTATGAAAATCAGTCCTAATGTTATTTTAACATTAGAAATACTGAAATAAACATTAAAATTCACTTTGTATAAAATGCAATTCAATTTCAAAATAAATTAAATTTTTATTATAATAATTGTTAACTTTGCTATTAATCATGATTAATAATTATTAACTTGAAATAAATGCCAATCAACTTAAAACATTTTAAAAAAATTACATATTAATGATTTAATTAGCATAATTACTTTCAGAAATGGATGTAATGAAAGTTATTATTATTGAAACTAACCTTCATTTTCTCATTAAATTTTTCATTAACATCTTTAAGGCACTCTTGATAATTTTTCTCCAGATTCTCTTTCTGGTTTGTAATATCTTTCTCATGTTGCAGTTTTAAATTCTCTATTTCAGTTATTTTCCCAGTCATTTGAGCATTATGAAGCTCTGTTAATTCTTCTAATTCTTTCAAATGATTTTCCCTTTGCTTTTGTAACTGTTCTTCTAAATCACACACTTGACTTTCTAATTCCATTTTTCTCTGTACCAGAATAATAAATATTTAATTAAAACATAATATACTAGGATAACTTGATATATAGTTATTTTTCATTAACTGTATATCAAGTTTTCAATGAGATAAAGTTTGATTAAATAGATTTTTATATACTACAATATTACATATATATGTATACACAGTATACAGTAAACCTTTGATTTATGACTGCTTGCATTACAATTCTTGTTTTTATGGTACCATAAAAATGTTTGTATTATGACAATACAAAATCACATATTTTTTGTTGGTAAGTATGATCTTATATAGTTAAAACTTATTTTCAGGAATGTTGTCTCAATTTAAAACACAGAGCTTAAAAAAAAAACAGAAACACTTACTCTATTACAATTATCTAGCAAAAAATTAAGTCAGTTGTGCTTGAACTATAGCAAAGAGCCTGATCAGATCTGTTAAATGTATTTCTTGTTACTCAATAAGATATTATTGTGTTGTGATGCTTATGTAGTTGTGCATGACAATGCCCAACTACATAAGCATCAAAATTAGTCCTACAACTTTATACTTGAAATTGGAAAATTCTCTCAGTGTAGAATTCCCCTTACAGTCCAAACCTTATCCCTAGCAATTTCCATCTGCTCAGATCAATAAAGTAAACAGTGAAAAACATTTTGACAGGAAAGAAGAACTTAAGACACGACCTCTAACCAACTTGTTGAGTTCTACAAGTCAAAATTACTAAAGTGTAAACATTACTCATCTGTCTATTTTAAAAAGTAGAAACTAGATACAAAGATCTATCCATTTGTAGTTCATTTATTTATTTATAACATGCGACATACTTCTGCGATTATATATGCCCTATGCTATAAACAAAATCTATAAATAAATAAAATCAACTTACATTTTAGGAATAGTCAAACTCATAAACTTCATGAAGGATGAATATTTTTGCTTTTTTAACATGTTTCGATATGTTGATATGAGCCACTCATTTGCCAAATTGAGTAATTCCACAAAACAAAAAGTAGAGAAATAGATAATATACATTAAACTTTAAATTTAAATAAACATTGTAGAATGTATTTTATATGTAACAACGTAAAAAATTGGTTACTTGAAAAATGTAATAATAGTAATAATAATTCCAAGGATGTACTAATGGAGTTAATCAATTTGGCCTGTGAAAAGCTTATATATACACACATACAGGTAACCCCCGTATAACACGGGAGTTACGTTCCAAAAAATTGTCGTGTTATGCGAATTCGTGTTATAAGAAACAAAGAACTAGTGCGAAAAGGGGGGGTTAGGTNATATACTCTATTTATTTAAGGGAGTCAGTACATGAAAAAGGTTGGAAACCCCTGACTAGAATATATTCACCATTAAGGAAGCAGCAGCAAATACCAATACAAAATTGCCATCACTTGAGTGTTAGTCTAAATCTCACAAAACAGGTTTCAAATTTGGAACTAAGTTAGAAGCATCTGGCAGCAGTTTATTTTTACCAACAAATAAATATATAAGATCACACAATTTCTTTTTCAGATTGTTCCAGGTGATCCGTTAGACAAGAGCATAGTAATAAGGCCTCTGGAGCCCCAACCTGCACCACACCTGGCCAGAGAGTTCATGATCAAGACCCGCAGGAGAAAGGTGAGAGATTGTAGATTATTTTTTGGGGGAAGAAAATTGATGCAATTCTCAATACGTGTCATTTCTAGGGCCTCAGCGAAGACGTGAGCATCAACAAATTTTTCGACGATCCCATGTTGCTGGAATTGGCCAGACAGGACGTCATGCTCAACTATCCTCTGTAGACTTGGCGGCATTTTGCACACAATCAGTCAATAAACCAGTCACACTTTTAACAAAATGGAAATTTTTTTATTAACATAGATTTAAGTCGACGCGTAACAAATGTACAAATTTACCAAAGATGCCCGCGGACGACGGATTTTGTCCATCCAGTCGGAAGGAGGGAAGAAATCATGCTGAACTCAGCCAGTGAGTTCTCTGAAAGAGAAAAAAGTCCCATTAAAATTTTGCAACTCTACATAATGGTTGTCATGAAATTTAACAAAGATGCCTACCAATTTCAAAGGACTAGAGGTTTCTCTATAGCAGTATCTATTTCTGGGAAAAGGAAGACAAAGCTTATTAGTCGATGCCAGAGATGACGTTTTCTACAAATTACAACTGTACGTTGCCGCTCTTGACAACTGATTATTCTAAATTGAATGTATTTGATGTGGCAAATTCCAACAGACAATTTGCAGAAAATGACATCTTATACTAAACGCAAAGCAAAATGAGTTCTTGTCTACAGAGAGATTAGACTGCGCCTTAACGCTTAATGTTATTGAAAGATTAAATGGCCAATTATCGAAAACAAAAGTTTGTTAATGAGAGCGAATATTTCACCTATCGCTGACGGAAATGCACGACAGACAAAAACCGAGCTCACCTGTACTTGCCGGGAGGCTTCTCTCTGCAGGATCTGACGTGTCTGGTCGTCGTCAAATTTTAGAACTGCCGTTATCACTTTGGCCAGAACCTGAATGGCAGAAAAAGAAACGGTATTAAAATAAAAGAAGTGACAATTTAAGCTGAATGACTTCTGAAAACTCACAAATGGTTCTTTTCCCATCATGTATTCGTACAGTATGTTGCGCAAGTACTGAAATTTAAAAAAAGAATTGTCAGCATTTCAGAAAATAACAATAATTTAATTACAAAGTTAGACTAAATAAATAAAATCCAAATGCATTCTGTAAATGTTAATCTCAATGAAACTCTTAATTTCTACAAATATTTTTGGCTCTACGTTTTATAAATAGCATTTTTCCAGTGTGCATGACATGCTCATTCGTGAAATGTGGATACTAAAGAATAATCTCAGAGATTGCATTCTTAACCAAGGAGACCATCAATCAAGCCCCCAATCATTTTTTTCTCTTCTGCCACTTCATTTAAATACATTAAAATTTTACCACCACAAATTGCTTTGTGAATGGTGGGTTCAAGAACACGAGACCTTGTATTTCTGACAATAGAATTTTCCAAAAAAGTAAATAGATCCAAGATAATTGCATTTCCTGTTGTCATCATGCATGTTCTTTAATAAACTGTCAGTAGTAAAACAAGACTTGCACAAAACATATTCTTAGTAATTTGTGTTTATTTTGAAGTCCAATATAAATTTTCAATAAACTGATGCTAAATTTTACCACTTTGTTCAGTTACGTACGTTTATTGACATAATTAAATTCATTCTGAGGAACAAAAATTCGTAAATACTTGAAATGCTCCATGAGTAGTTTGCTTACAAAATCGGCTTTCTTACCTCAAATTCTGTCGGTTCGGGAACTTTTAAAGAAATGTCCTCCATATGGTTTGAAGTACCGGTGGAGTTAGGCTTGGACGTCAAACCTAGCAAAAATCTCAACTCGCCAATTTCCTCTCTGAAATCAAAATATTAAAGTCCGTTAATTGTCTATTTTAGGATAAACACACAAAAGTTATGTTGCAACATTTTACTCACTGCAGATTAGTTTTTTCAGTTTTTAAAGAAGCTATCTCTTCTTCGTGCACCGTGCAGGTTAAATTAGACTGATTTTCCGCTTCAGTCTGTTGCGCGACTGGAGTCGTATCTTCCGCATCCTGAAATTTTGAAAAACAGTTTCATTCGATGTTCTGGAAAAGTAATAAGAGTTTTGGAGCGATGCTAACCTCCCAACCGTCTTCCCAATCGTTTGCTTCAACATTTTGTGATTCTTGACTAGCCTGAATTTCATTCTTTTCCACTCTCACCTGCAGAATCTTAGATTCCTTTAATTTTTGTTTACATTCATTTAATTCTTCTTCTTTATCCTAAATTGTAAATGCATAGAATAGAAATCTTAAGGGAGCTGCTCAAAGTATAACAATTTCTTTGAGAAAACTACTCGCCCTTAATAACTGTTGGAAGTGTTCGGTCACGTCGTCCAGTGCACAAGTCTTTTCAAACAGTTCCTGCTGCAGAGATGCCATTTCCTGACGGTGCTCTTTCTCCATTTTCGACTCCTCTTCTTGTCCTTTACCTATTGAAATTCAAACCCTTCTGTAAGGTCAAAATTTTTGAAAATAATACAATTTAATTGCTGAATTATCTGAGCACTATAAATAGCTCTTTTTAGGACTTATCACACACTATCAAGAACCCACACAGAGACTGATGAACATTAAGTATTTTTTTGTAACCAGGATATGCATTTTGGGCAGACAAGCTGTCCCTCTTCAGATGTAACAATCACTAAATTACAAGCATGTAATCTATAACTGTATGTATGTAGTATGGATGCTGTATAATAGTATGTAAAATCACTAATCCATGTCGGTTGATTTTCTCACAGCAACTCAAATTTATTACAGCATATTCTTAAATAGATTATACATCATATGCATTTCAGGCTGTTGTAAATTCACAGCCCCTTCTCAGTGCCATCAAAGACAATGCAATGATATTAGACTTGAAATTCGCATATGATAAAAATTATTTCCAGGTTGAGCAAGCATTCTATAGACAAACAGACAGTATAAGCATGGGATCAAAGATGGGATCAAAGATGGGGCCAAAATTTGTGGAAATAGTTATGACCAGTATAGATGAAATCATTATTAATAATAATAAAGGTATAAAATTAGTAGAGATATGCAGATGATTATTCAAGAATTTTTGATAGCAACTTAATAAGTGAAATAAATATTTTTAACATCATAAATAACATAAATGAAGACATACAGTTCAATATTGAAATAGAAAATAAAATTAAATTATTTAGACATTACTATAGTTAAGAAGGTAAACTTATTTATTTCATTAACATATAATTAATTGTTTTGTCTACATTACATGTTTATTTATAATTCATATAACCCAGAAAAGAATATAAAAAACACTTGTAAATGTTAATTCCATGATATATTAGAACATCAAATATAAATAAAAAACAGCATTAAAAAGATTAGATGATAAATTTATCTTAAACGATTATCCTAGGTTAAAATTAATGAAATGGCACAAACAATATTTGAAATATAGATATAACATTAAATATAAACACGACAGAAATTATTATACCTTTCCTTATATCCATAATTTTGAAAAATGCAATAAAAATCTTAAAATAAATTTGGCCTCATCTTTGATTAACAAAACATGGAACAGAAATTATAATCAACATAATGACCTTAAGAGAGAAGGTACAGTATATAAAATAAAATGCAATCGTAATAACCCTAGAATTTATATTGGTGAAACTGGAACATTAGAAAAAAGAATTAAAGAGCACAAAGTGGCAATACGTCTAAATTTTGATAATTCACCATGGTTTTAACATTCTAAAAGTAATAAAAATAAATATTATAATAGAAATATTGTAAGCACGTCATTCCTTTGGATATATATATATTTTTTTAATTGTAAATTGTGTGTTAATCTCTATTACACTTATACAGTACTTCAGCTCTGCAAGCAAGCCGTTGTAACTAGTTAACATTTATCTTTGCAAATTATGTATAAAAAATTAAACCTACAGTAATTTAAGACTGGATGTAATAATTATAAAGTAAGATTTATTATCTATATTGTGTTTATTATAAACTATATCATAATATCTTTATAGTTTTATACCCATTTACTAAAAATATATTTTTAAGGGTTTTTACAGTATAATTGAATGTGTAATGGAGTTTTAAAAATTGTTTATCTCTTTTAAAGTAAATATAAAGAATCATAATGTAAAAGATTTTTTGTGATCATAATAGTGTCAAGTCTAATAATCATTGCATTGTCTTTGATGGTACTGAGGAGGAGGGGCTGTGAATTCACAACAGCCAGAAACGCATATGATGTATAATCTATTTAAGAATATACTACAATAAATATGTTTACAATACAAGGGATAATATAACTATTCATATTGTTCTTAAGACGATTGTACTTTAGATACTGGGCATGCACATTAGACGTAAAAGAAATTTTTAAAAACATTCTAAAATAGGTTTCATTCGTTATAAATCGGAATTATTCAATTTTTCCTGAAGAAGGTCAATGAACTGACTGCATCTTAACCTATTCGATGTTGAAATTTTTATATGTTGCCTGGGACGCCATGTTGAATTTTCGTCAATGTTAAGCCTAAAAAAATTTTTTTTTTTTTAAATAATAATTGTGTTTACTGTATCGTTTACGTCATAAAAAAATAATTTTTAATGTTTCACAAACAAAATATATTGAATAATGTAGAAACAAAAAAAATTATATTTTAAAAGTTAATTTTAATATAAAAAATGTGACGCATAGCAACATCTAGTATAAAAAATGTTTCGATGTAAACACAGAAATATTTGGGATCGCCCACGCAGGTCAGTGAGGTCAACACGAATATTTTTGGGAACTATGTAGGACAGGTTAAAGGGTTTTTGTTGTTGGTTGACTTTTAAGTTCAGATAATTATTAATAGCACGACAAAAATAATAATATTACAGTAGAGCACTGATTATTCGAATACCGATCAACTGAAACATTGGTTAACCGAAAGTGTTCCAGTCAGCAAATTCAAATTTCAGCTAAGTGCTGTGGCACTGTAATATTTGGCTATGTCTTGGGCTACTCAATATTATTTTTGTTGGAGTGCGTGTTTTAGCTGGCAGCACTCGCGTGACCATGAAAAGTTACTTATGGATGCACCAGTATTTGAATGAGGCTTTCTTCCTCCATTGTGAGTGATGAATTTTACTTGTTTTGTGTTGTGTTTTTCTGAAGACTGTGTCGTGCTGAATCTGAATGTTTTTGAAACTAGATTAACTTCTGAAATATAATTTTTTAAAAATATTTTTTCAGTATATTTATTTTGTGCAAAATAAAGAAATAATTTTTAACAATACAATAGCCACAATTAACATTTAAAAAAAATTTTTGTTAGGCTTAACATCGGCAAAAATTCAACGTGAAGCGACACACAATGGAGAAAAATTTCAACATGGGATAGGTTAATATATTTTTTCGTACATGATCAGTTATCCGAACAACCCCAGTCCCGAATTGTTTCGGATAATCGAGGCTCTACTATAATACAATTTAAATGCATTTACAAGAACATCGAACACTCACCTATAAGATTTGATAATGTTTTCTCGCATTCGTTATCTTTTAATTCTAGTTGACTATTAAATTCACGGATCATCTGTTTTAATTTGCTGTTCAGTTCAGAGTCCTTCTCCTTTAGTTTCTCTTCGTAACTCTTAATCACAGCGGTCAACTGGGTCTGGTAATTTTCTACATGGTTCACACCAAATGTTTGAGTTTCGAGAACCCCGAGCTGCTCTTTGAGCATGTTGTTTTCTTCTTTCAGAAGCGACACAGACAAATCTTCGGGTTCTTTCTGCTGAACCTGCTGATTCAACAATTCCTGTCGCAGCTTCCACTTGTTAGCTTCTTCTTTCAGTTTGCATTTCTCCATTCTCAACTTTTCTACTTCTTCTTGTAACATACTCTTTAAATCTTCCTTTTCCTTTGACATTTCACTCAATTTTAAATTCAGTTCTGCTATCTCTTTTGTTAAATTATTGAGAGAACAATCTTTCTCTCTCAACACTTCATTATATTGTTCTTCTGCTTCTTTTAACTTGTTATTTAATGATAGTTTCTCATTTTGTAATTCATCTAATAACTGTTTTTCTTCAGTCAGTCGATTATTTTCAGATATTAATTCTTCCAACTTGTGCTTCAGTTCTGATTCCTCTTCCTCTTTTTCTGATAACTGACTCTTATAGTCGGCGAGTTTCTGAGAAACTGCAGACTGGTTCGCCTCGGCTACCAGCAACGATTCGTCCAACTGATTATTGAGGACTCTTATTTCTTCTTCTAACTGACCCTGTAACAAAAAATGCATTTTTAAATATATAAAGTCCTAAAATGAAGTATTTAATTAAAGATATCATTGATAATTTTTCCAGACTGTCAACACATGCACTTGTTCTCAAGAAACTAAAATAGTCTGGGATAACTCTTAAGACTCTTATAAAAGATCCTAGATCCTCCATGTAGATGATTAATTATATAATGAAATTATTATTAATTGGCTAAATTCAACAAATTTCACACATTTTGTAGCTATTAACACAAGCAAAATTCAATTTACTGATAATTAAAGATGATATTACTTAATCTATATAGATAGTTAAATGCACTTTGGTCCAAATTTCATTTGAACAATTTGTTTATTAGTCTTTCTTGTGACATAACTTAAGAGAGGACAAAGATGATGTTTTAGCTACATATACTGTATTTATCTCATAACTGCACAATTTTATGAATTTTATTCATATAGAAAGAGTGGCAGCTGTATGAACTATTCCCTGATGCTGTTATCCATATTAGAACACCAATCCTATAGGTTTCTTGTATAGGATTGATAATCTGAAAATGGAATCACGTTCACGTTATGATGAGTTGGATGCTACAGAACAGATGGGAAAGGACTTCTGAGCAGAAATGTTACAATGTTAATTCTTTTTACCTTTATGTACTTACTCATATCAATTTCTGTTTGTATCCTTGTTTAGTAATAGGAATTGTTATACTGGTGTAGTTTCCAATTAGCAAATAGAGATGATCTTAGCCAAAAAGTCAAAACAAAATATCTTTATTTTCATCTGTATACTCTGTGTTTCAGACCTGAAGGCTTCTTTTCAGCAGGTTTACAATATTAGGTCCTTTATTGTCCGTTATTAATACACTTATATAGACAAAGTATCAAACTTTTATGGATACTTTGTCTATATAGGTGCATTCCTAATTGTAACAAGCAGATGGGGATTTGAATTCAGCAGTACAATATGATGTGCTGGTAAGAAATATGACATGGCTGAGCACTCAGTTGTAAACTTGATTGCAATTCACTGCTTGAACATAGTGCCGTGCATCAAAAAGACTATTCTGACGGTTGTCATAATTGGCCAAAGAGTAACTGTCAAGAGCATTACTGTTATCTAAAATGTTATCTAGAGCCATAATTATCATCATTCATAATACTTGGTCAGAAATTATGTTATTTTGTGTTCATGTTTCGTTTAAATGATCCATATATGCACAGACAGACAGATCCGTAGCCATTTTACACATTGACGGATAGCTGTAGTATTAAATTCATTAAAATAATATTCAAAAACATAATAATATCTGTAGTTATATTTGTGATTTTTAGTTTCAATTTTTCAATCGACCCCCTAATAGTTATATCAACCCCCAAGGGTCGATATCGACTACTGTCTTATAGAGTCTATAAGAAAGAAGCTGTCAGCTATGGCATTAGCAATTTATGCTGGAAATGAAGATGCTTTGGGATGTAAAATTGTTACACAGAGTTTCTGATAGAGCACACCTTAAACACCTGGAGGCAATTGAAATCTATCTAGAATTTAAGGATGGAATAGGTATTAATTTGAAAGAAACAAATACACTGTCTACAGCATGGCACGCCATTTTTGAACTCTCAATATTCCTTATAGACAGCATGGATACGAGTTCACATTAATGATAATTTAAATTAAATATGTTATTTGTGTCAAGATAATTATTTTAAAATTAATTTATGTCATTATACATTATTCTTTAATCATTTTGAATAATATACGTATATATTTTGTGCAGGATATAATTTTAAAACATATATGATTTTAAATTATAAGCACAATGTGTTCCATTTATGTTGTCAATTTGAACATGTAAAATGCGTTTGATTTTTTATATTAGCTGTTTTTGTTGTCATATATATCTGACAATGTCTGTTTTAAATAGACAAAAATGTCAGTAAATATTTTCTTTAGTAATTACAGAGCTGCTGGTATTGGTTTGGTTGTCTGTGTTTATATGATCACAGTTTTGGAGTTACTGACCCATATATGACAAAATGATAAGAATTTCATATTAAGACTTACAATTTTGGCCTGATACTCTTCTGATATTCTAGCAGTAACTTCTTCCTTCTCTTTGGAATGTTTTGAGATGGTTTCTTCATATCTCGCCGTCAGCTCTTTTATCTCTTCATCTTTCGTCTCTCTACATTTTTCCATCTCATTAATGAGAGTTTGTTTGTCATTTTCTAATTCTTTTACTTTATCTTCTAAGCTATGCATCACTTCCTTAAACTGGTTTTCAAAAGAAGTGTATTTACACTGAATTTCTTCAATTTCTTCTTCCTTATTAGCAAGAGAAGCATTTAATTCTTTCAGTTTTTCTTTCAGATCGGAAATGACGACATCTTTTTCTTGCTGCAATTCCTTTATTCTATTGTCCATTTCTAAGACAAATTTTTCTTCTTGTAGCTTTAGTGTGCTCTCGTTTTCAGACTGCAATTGTCTCTAAGTAAAAAAAAAAATGAAAACATTAATCTGTTATTTCTTAAACATACTATTTAAAAAAAAGTTTTGAAAATTGTATATGGAAGTCTGATAGATCAGAATCATTTCTCTATAAAATAATACTCAATATAAAATAAATCACAAAACACATAAGTATTTTGTGATTTATTTTGAATTTATTGGAATATTTTACAGTTAAACATTGCTGTAACAAGCAAGCAATTGAGATCAATCAGAACTGTCATATATAGATTTTTATATTGATAAAAAATACAGGCATTTCTTGATATATATAATCAAAAACTTTTCCTATAAAAATAAAACTCTTGAAAGTGTAATTTCAGTATCTTCATCAATAACATTTCACTATTATTAATGGAATTCAATATTATGTATTAACTCAAAAAGAATTGTACATGATAGGATAGGTGTACTCACATTAGCACAATTAAAAGTAACTGAACAAAGTAGTAGTAGACTTGTGCTATTTCAAAAGTGGAACAACAATGTTCTGTGTTAAAACTGAATGCACACTTTTAGTATAAATATTAAAGTAATATATGTAACAGAATGAACAATTATCAAATTGAAATGATATCACTTCAATTTGATGACCAATTATCTTGTACCAACTACATTTTGTAAGACAAAAATAAATGTGTCAAGAGATGCCTGCATATCAAAAATTAAATAGTGTTTTAAGTACTGTAACAATAACATTAAACATAATGATAATAATAATGATCTTTTAACTTATTGGAAAATTTTAAATACATCAAGAATTAAATTCATTTTCCTCATTGCGGGAAACATAGCGAACCATATCGTTAATACTAACAGTTAAAGAAACAATTAAAAATTGAGAAAAAGCTATTTTGTTCACAAAAGCAAATCAAAGAAAATAAAACAAATATTTTCCAAACCACAATAACTGCAGTAACATTATGTTTCATGCAACACCACTAAAAACAGGAAAAAATGACAAAAATGCAAAAATTCTAAACCATCGACAAGAGTGCCGGGTGCAGTTTTCTATTCGTAAGCCAATCTACCTTTATCTGAGTTAATTTCAATTCGGCTTTCTTTTTAAGTTCATTTAGTTTCGCCTGATACTCTTTGTTTGCATCTTGTTGCATTTGTTCTAACTTTTCTTTATGTTCAGATTCCTGTTGTGTTAATTTGTGAATAGAATCGCTTCTCTCCTTGCCTAATTCTGATTCGAGTCTTTTACATTTCTCTTTGAGGGTTGAGATCAGTTCATTTTTAGCATCTAGATCTTTGGATATCTCGCTAATTTTTTCATTCTCTCTACACAAATCATCTATTTTGCTTTCAGCATTGACATACTTTTCTTGTAAACAATTTAATTTCTTCTGAAGATCAGATAGCTCCATTTCTTTTGTCCCATTTTCTTTCCTAATCTCCTCTATCTCGTTTTCTTGCACTTTTAGTTTTTCTTCGTAACTGCTAATTGTATTGGAAAGGACAGAAATTTGCTCTTTATATTTGTCATTATCATTCATTTCATTCTTTAAAGTTTCATTACATTGCTTTAGGTACTGTACTTCATCATTTTTAGTTGCAATATTCTTCTTTAATTCCTCCAATTCTTGACACTTGAGATGTGAAAACTGTACTTTTTCTTCCAGCGTAATTTTCATTTGACTCAGTTCTAAATTACAAGAATCAACAACAGTTTTCAAATTTATCAATTCATCTATTTCTGACTGCTTTAAGGCTAATATACCATTGAATTCATCTACTTTTCCTAATAATTTGGTGTTCTCGACGGTTAGTTTCTGTAATTCATTCTCAAGTTCCAAAATTCTGGTCTTAGATTCCTGTTGTACACTTTTCAATTTTGTGACAAATTTTTGCCTAATGCTAGAAATTTTATCCTTACTTTCAGCTTCAAATTTAAGCTTGAATGCGTCGTAATCAGACCTTTCTTTCTCACACAATTTATTTGCCTGATCTAATTTATTTTGCAGTTCGATCAACTGTTCATTCAATTTATTATTATCCTTTGATGCCGTCTCTAACACTGCCAGCTTCTCTTCATATTCTATGTTTAACTGCTTTAATGTCTTGCATTCTTCTGTCAGTTTATCAGTTTGTTGTATAAATGTATTTGACATGTCTTCATTATTAATTCTTAATTCATTGTTATTCATTTTTAAATTATTCATTTCTTCAGTTCTTTCTTTCAGATATGACTGTAAATTTTCATTATCATTTTTTAAATTATTCACTAATTCTTTATAATAATTAACTGTATCTTGATGTTTGTTTTCCCAAGTTTTTGTTATCAAATTAATTTCAGTTTCTTTTTCCTTTGCAAGAATTGCTATCTGATTATTTGCATCAAAGGTGGCTCTCTCAACATCCTTTAACTGTCGCGTTATCTCCTTTAATTTGTTTTGTAAATTAAGCATTTCTATATTGTTCATTGACTCTTTCTCACACCAATTCTCCTTTTCGATCTGTAACATGTTTTCAATCTTTTTCATTTCTTCTACATGATTTTCGGTGACTCTGGTCATCTCGCGTTCGTGTTGAAATTTCTCTTCTTCCAATTTGTTTTTTAATTCATTTACTTCAGAGTTCAACTTATCCAGTTCTTCTTTAGTTGTATCTTTTAATTCCAATAATTGATTTTCATAAATTTCTTTTAACTGTTTCCACTTCATTTTATCTTTGCTGTATTTTTCTTCAATTGATGCTTTATCTGAGATCAAATTATTCAAATGCTCTTCTTTAGCCTTAAAAACTGATTCTAATGTAATCTCCCTCTCTTCTGCTTTCTTAATTTCTTTCTTTATTTCATCTAATTCACTTTCCTGTTCTCTTATTTTTTGAGACTGTTCGTTATTTATAGAAGCTAACTTAGATATTTGTTCTTCGTACTCCTTTCGGCTGTTTGCTAGTAATTGCTTTAAGGAATCCAGCTCTTGTTTTAGACAATCTGTCTGGGTAGACATTGATGAAACGTCCACGACCAATTTCTCATTTACCTCTGAAATGTTTCTCTCATAATCTATCCTTGTTTTCTCCAATAAATCATTTAATTCTTTCTCACGATATTGAAGATCATCTATAGTTTGTTCCAAACTTACTATTTTGGTATCATATAAATTTTTAATATTGTCAATTGTATTTTGTTGCTGATTACTAACCATTTCTAACTGTTTCGAAGAAGATTCTTCTGCTTCAAGTAACTTTCTTTCATATTCCATAACGGTATTCATCATTTCTAATTTTGTGTTCTCCAGGTCTGATGCAGTGTTCTGTTTTTCTTCTTTGATCTCTTGTAAATTTTTGTTTAATTTAGTATTTTCTTCAGACAGATTTCCTAAAGATTCAACAACTTCTTCTAAACTTTGTTTTTCGGTTAATAAATTCTGCTTCTCACTTTCTAATTGAGAGATATCTTCAATTGCCTTATGCTTTTCCTCCGTCAATGTTTTAACAGCATCCTCTTTTTCCTGTATGGCCATTTCTAATTCCTCTTTCAAGATATTTAAATCTTTTAATATTTTTTTCTTCTCTGTTTGTAGTGTGGATATTTCTGCTAAGAGTAATTCCTCTTTCTCCTTACTTAAAGACAATTTCTCTTCTAGTTCTTGATTTATTTCTGAAAGTTTCTCTATTGACTGCTTTGAATAATCATCAGAAGTCTTGTTTGTTTCAATTTCGGTTTCCAGATTTGCTAATTTGTCTTTAATTGATTGATATTCAGTTTTCTGCATTTGCAACTGATTTTCTAATTCTTTAATGGTTTTTAAATGGTGTTCCGTATCAGATTTTGACATTTTAATTAATTCTTGGTGCTGTTTGAGTTCATTTTGCATGGATTCATACTTTTCTTTTAACGAAAGTTTTTCAGTTTCTAACTTCTCACAACATTCCTTGGCTCTCTGAAGTTCGCATTGAAAATGATCTATTTCTTGCTTCAGACTATCTATAATCTTGATTTGATTTTCTTTTTCTTCTAAAGCACTTTTTAAGGCTTCATTTAATTGAATGGATTTGTTTTCAAAATTATTTTTTAACTTCTGTAATTCGTTATCTCTGCTGCCTATTGTTAATTTAACTTCCTCAAATTCCTTATAAACTGTTTCATATTTCAATTTAATATCTAAAATTTCATTTTTTCTTTCTTCTATTTCTAAGCAGAGTTTCTTATTGGCAACTTTTAAATTCTCCAGTTCCGTTTCCTTCTGTTCTATAGCATTAATATGTTGTGACGACATCTCGGCTAGCCTGTGTTCATATGTGGATTCCAAATTGTATGTTTTCTCCTGAAAAAAAAAAAAAAAAAAAAGAATTTTCAAATTATTATTTTAAATGCAATTTTTTGTGTGAGGTTATTATTATTTTAACTATTTTATTTTACTGGGATTCAGAGTATAAGCAATAATAATTATATTATTATTTTGCTAAAAATTTAGTATTCATTATTAAATTTAAAATTTGTTAAGGGTTTAATTAAAATTAATGTGTGAGTAAGACATTTACAGAATAATAATTTTTAGAGATATAAGCATTGGGTATTACATTCCAATTGTGGCAAAAACCTAAATGTTGCAGAACTAAACTAACAAACATAATGCAATATGACATCTACTTTCAAGAGATCTAATATTCTAGAGAATTCACTTATTTTGGCAGATTAGATATTATATATATTATTTGTGAATCTATACAGCTATGATTATATAAGTGCTATAATGACAGAGAATGGCTATCCATAATCCAGCCAAAAGAGGAAGATGAAACATCACAATCTACTCATGAAAACAGAATTGGAATTTTTTATGGAAATAAGAAAATGTTTTATTACTTTATCTAGTAAATTTTAGATAACATTTGTATTATTTAATTTGGAAATTTTTGACAATTATTTTGCATAGGGCACGATAAAAACTTGTTTCACAACATAAATGCAAATTAAACTTTTTCATGAATATTTTTTGCTTTTCTCAGCTTTCTTCCTCATGCTATACAAATGCAGAATATTTGAATGTAAACACATTTGAATATTCCATTTTAAAATTTTAATTAAAGAATTTAAAAATTTATCAATTTAAATTCTGATGAATAAATATATTTATATTTCTGCAAATGTTAGAAATACAGATTATTTATATGACATTGTAGAGTTGTACAACATTACTTAACTTTTAATTCTAGTAACAACCTATTTTATAAAACAAGATGTGATAAATTAATTTGAATAAAAAATATACATGATATATTTTCTTTCATTTAATATAGTTATTAATTAAGTAAAAGACAAAAGAATGGTCGCTATCTTGATGGCCACCATCTTAAATTTGCCTCAAAATATTTAAATGAAAATGAGATCATGCAATACACAATACAAAGCTAAAATTTCAAGAAAAATGCAATGCTGCACTTGTTTGCCACCTATCTTTAATCCATAAAAAGTTATGAAGAAACAAATCTAACCAATCTCTCCTTCCATGTGTATTAACCCTTAACTGGTATCGTAAATTTTTCAAACGTAACTGGTTTCATGGGGGCTGCGCGGCCCCCAAGCAAAATTTGCCTTTAGAGAGCAAGTTTAACAATGTGACAGTTCAAAAGGGCATAAATGCTAAATGAAACCCTTCTTTAGTATAATCAACTTTTATTTATTTATATAATTTTCTTTACTTAATTATTACAAGAGATCACAAAATTGTTACAAATTTTGGTGTATGCTTATTTTAACAATACAAAAATTTACCATATTGTAAGTTTATACCAAAGATATTTTTTTTTCTTATTCTTAAGAAACTAATCTTATAAAAAAGTATCTTTTATAGCCTCTAACTATCATTTGTTAAAAAACCACAGGTAATATAATCACTTGTATTTTTAAGACTCAGGAACATTTTAACGCGATTACGTAGTTCAGTCTTGAGAGTTATCACATAGTATTTTTGTAATACTATGCACTTTGCAAATAAATTTCAAACAACTGTTGCACTTAGTAGCATATTTACCATCTTTTTTTCCAGCACAAAATGACAACATACTCTTTTCAGAAGATTTCGGCTTGATCTAGCAATTTGTATATTATCATCATCTATTAGCAGTTCAAATGATTCTTTGGTAGTCATTTTGAATTTTTGATGCAAGATTGAGATATCTTTGCAAAATAATTGTAAAAATTAAAAAAAACATAAAAACACATTTCCACAAAAAACCAACGTAACTGGTATCGTGGGGGCTGC